CGTGAACTGCAAGACATGGGAGAGTAATTTATACTACTAGAAGTCTTCAGTATCCCTGTGTCCTGTTTTCCGACTCACGTCATTGATCATCGGAGAATAAATAGCCTAAAGCCTACAAGCAACGTCTGAGCATCACCTCCCAACGTCTCTGTACTTTCCACAAACTTATCCGGGCCTGAACATCCTGGAAACCAGGGGTGATGATACAGTCTTCCTTACAGAACACATGAGAAACCAATGTATTGCAATACAGTTTGACTGAAGTTTGTTGTGCGCGTACGCAGATAAGCCGAACAAAGATTTAGACATTCCCAAGCAGCCACATTCAATAGTCTGACAGCCCCCGGTCTCAAACGATAGATGGATTTTGGATAACCTCCGAGACCGGCGACTTGGTCGAACAAAGTACATGCGATGGCGGGTGTCTTGCTGGCTCCTACATTATCCGGTAGAGACTTCCAAGAAGAAGATACAGCCAATACAAAGGTCCGCCTGATTAGCCGCCCAATTAAGGAGGAGGAAAAGTAGGTGCTGTGTCCACTGAAGTCATGAGCGATCAATGGCAGGTAATCGGATCTTAGTGGTCAATACAGGGTGGGTAGATCTGGCTCGCACGTTATTAGCAAATGTGCTCCGTTATTATGCCCAATACATATCACTCTAGGTTGTAAATGGTTGCCAGGGATTGGGAATGATGACAGTGAAGTCTAGCGGTGCGAGCCTCTTGAACCAAGAAGCAGCAATACCTAGCTAGTTATGTGAAGGAGCCAGGACTGAATCAGAGGCGGCATTCTTGTCTCAGTTGCTGATCTGCCTAGGTCGAAGTTTTCTGTGGAGAAGATCTGGCTTCAATCCAATTATAGAAGGAGGAAAGAAAATCCCTTGGATCGTTGTAAATCCATTCTGGAGCCACCTATGGAGAGTATGATGATGTAGAGAAGCAATAGAATTTAATCTTCTGGGTTCCTGCACTGTACTTTTGCTCCAGCCGCGTATTTGTAGCCCATTTTCTCCCCAGGCTCCATGTGTGCCTAGTGGCCAAATGTATGTTTTATGTACTATGTATCATCGACTGTGCTCCGTACAGCGGTGCAGCAAACTTTGGGTAGTGATCACCGGGGTAGCTAGGTAAGTGGCGTAGATGGGGACTCGATGCATTTCTGAAAAGGATGACAGGAAGGAATAGGAAGGGGGGAGTTGTGAGTCGATCATAGTGGGGTTGATGAGGATAAACCGGCAACTCTGATTATCTAACGGCCAGCTGAGGGGCGGAACCGCCCAAAGAAGAAAAGTACTACGTTATGGTGTGGTTTGAAATGTACTCCCGGTCGCTGTATGGAGCATGTTATGTCCATACATACACTTACATCATTACTCATTGAAAGATCGGATACCATACAGTTAAAAGTAGCCTCGGGTATTGTATTTAAATGGATCAACGAGGAACAACCTAGAAGGCGATCGCGTGTGCTAGAGCAATTGTGTCGAGATATTCTAATAATAATCAGGGATCGGGTAGTAATGCGAACTGGCGACCTTCAGGGCCATGCATAAGACCCGGAATCCGCAGCAGGAGGGGTAAGCTCAAGATAGCTCTCGTATCGCGCGCACTAAGCATTCTTCAGCTTCTCAAGACATTCCGACGGTGAAGGACGATGTTCTGACCTTCAATAGGAGGCCCTTTGTATAATATCGATCTCTGAGGGTATACTGTTTCGGCCGGGAGGAACAACCCAGCAGCAATACATGCAACAACTGCAGAGGGAGTAGATAAATTGGAATGTCATAGTTAAATAGCTAATAATTACTCCGGACTATACTAATCGACTAGTCAACTAGCCAAAACTGATTTGACCTAAATAAACCCCGGAGCAAGCCAGATTTGATTGATTGAACCTTGGAAACCTTGGGCGACATACGGGGGAAACAGAGTAGTTGTTCCGGCTTTGTAGTAAGATTTCTGGGACGACTAGCTGTTTTAACTTTCGTTCCTTTTAATCTCTCGGAATCCTGACTAATTATTATCGATGCTGCTCCTGTCTTCTACCCCGGTCACCTACGTGTCGATTCAAGTTTGATTTCATGATGATCGGCTCAGTGAACTGGAGTCAGTCATCCCACTATTGACGAGTCTGGGTCTTGTCGTCTTGTACTGGCGTGGACAATACCAATACGGCGCAGATGCTTACTTACTTACATACCGTCATACATACTGTCATACTTTGCCCAGCGATAATCTTTCATTTTCCTTTGCTTTTTTCCCTTCTTTGCCAACAGAGTGCCTTCCATGAGGTTTGCATTAAGCTACACAGTGCTTGCACGGTGTGGGCTTCTTACTTGTCTCGGGAAGTGTGTAGTCGTAGTGCATCATGACCAAATTCTTTGCCATTCTACCTACATCCTCTGTTTCGCCCCCAAGCTGCGCCTGAGGTACCCCTTTGCGTCACTTGATCCCCTCGGCTAGCATCAAACCCCCCACCGAGAACTAGGATGTAGGCAGGCAGACTCTTGGAGGGGAGGAATGTATGAGTTGTAGACTAGTAGAAGGTAAGTAGGCAGCCTTGGGGAGTGGGTGGAAACAAGACGTAGGCATACATCGGGCGAGGAAGAAACTCCGTACGTGCGTTGCCTTTTTCCCACGACCAGCAGCAGTATGATGATTGCTGCATGGCATCCACACCCATGACGCAACCACGTGACGGGCTGGGAACCGTGACTTGGGCGCCTTTTACCTGGACGACTCGTCGCCCGACAAGCCTTCCCCTCCGAAGGACTGCCTGCCCGCGACTCTCTCGCTCTGCTCTCTCTCTCTCTCTCTCTCTCTCTCTCTCTCTCTCTCTCTCTCTCTCTCTCTCTCTTCTCTCTCTTTCCCTCTCTTTTCCTCTTTTCATATTTCCGTGCTTTGCCGGCGCCTTCTGCTCGCTCTCTTTGCAATATCTCCCTCTCTACTTTTAGTTCTGGGACCTGAGTGGGCTTCCCTGGTCGAAACGGCCTTTTCCCAATCACAACCAGCTCAAGCCAGCAGCCCACCTCTCCCTTCCCACGCCGCCCCCCCTCAAAGGGTTGGTTTCCTATCGTCTGCCGTCCCTCCTCTCCCTAGACGCAGAGAGCAAGGAATAAAAAAAAAAAGACATAATTTTTTCTTCTTTAGCCAAGTAATACTTTTTTTTCTCTCTTATTTAAAAAAAAAAGTTTTTTTTTTTTTTTTTTTTTTTTTTCCAGGAACAAAAACTTCCGAGGGAGAGGGGAGAGCCAAAGAGGAAAATACTAAAACGGGAACTCCAACCAGGGAAGAAAAAAGGGAAAAAAAAAAGGAAATTTCCATCAGCAAAGCAAAGCAGCAAAAGCAGCAACATCGTCGTCGCTGTCGTTATCGTCAAGCCAGAACTCTTCTCTCCTTAATCCTATCCCAGATCTCGTTCACGCCGGTTGTCACGATCTCAACGACTCCATCCATGCTCTGAGGTCTGCTTGTTTCGTCTCGTCCACCCAACGTATGTTTTAATTCCGAAGTTCTTTCCTTACTTTTCGAACCCCAATCCACTCAACTCACTCACTCACTCACCCCTCCCCTCACTCGCTGTCTTTCCCTCTTCTTCCCTTTCCCTCTCTCTCTCTTTCCCTCCCTCACACTCATTCCCTTAAACGACCCTCTTACTCAACTCACCACCACCACCACCACCACTTCCCTCTCACTCCATCTCCGCTACTTTCCCACCAACGCCCTATCTTAGGTGCTTTTCTCTACCCACCCCCCGCCCTCAATTTTGTTTTTCTCTCCCCTTTTACACAACAACTTTGTTCTTATCTCCTACCATACCATCTCCTTTTCTTACTCTTTCGCTTTATTCCCCCAATTTGTCTTTTTATATCATCTTCCCGAGTTCCGGTTTTATTCCCGGTTCTTCGAACTCCTGTTCATTTCCATTCCCTTCCCCCCTCCCTATTTTGACCTCGCACATCCACAAACCAACCAACCCCCCCCCTCCTCATCCCTCCTCCCTCTCACCTTGACTACTACCACCCCACTCTATCCCCTCTTCGCCTCACCATCCCCCCTCCTGCTGTCGCAAAGGAATACTTAAGTGGAAGAGAGATATATCAACCTCTCCATGAGTGGAATCGAATATTGTTGTTGACTCGTCTGGAAAAAGGCAGAGCGATGATTAGCCTCAGGGTGGAACAGCACTCAGAATCTCCGAGATCCCGTCAAGACCATCTTTCCCGTGGAAACGACGATACCAGAGCCTACGACGGCAATGCCGATTGCCAGTGAGAGTACCACCGTCAACTCCGTTACTACCACCATGACAACTTTTTCCGCCCCGGTCACCGCACCTAGATCGATGCCCAACAATCAGTCTGCGTTGGCGGCATCCTTCACCAATTTCCTCACCGTATCAATACACCAGATCCTGTTTTTACGTTCGGTCTATCCACGAGCCACGTTCCTCCCCGTGCGGGCGTACAACTATCCCGTCCGACAATCCCGTCACCCCAAGGTGTGTGATTACATCAATGACGCGTCAATTGCGGTCGGAACGGAGATCTTGAAAGGCACAATAACCGCTGTCAGCATTATCATCTCCTCCCTCCGTACGAATCAACCTCTCGAACGATATGCCTTTGATTTATCGGGCTTCCCCCGTGTTCCGGCTGGCGAAGTCAATACCACCTTCGAAGACAGAAGGGAGGAACAAACCAAAGCGGGTGTTCCCGTAACCGACCGGGCTTCCGCCCCCACATCAGTCGACCTCGAAGCGCAATTTCGGGCCTGTCTAGCAAGATTGGCTTCAGCTTGTGCGCGCCTGACTCCCTTGCCTCGGGACGATGAATTCAGTTTCACCGTCTGCATCGAGGTGCGGGAAGATGCTTTACCCCCGGCGGGGACCACAACCGAAGAACAGACATGGATTGTGGCCGAACCGGATAAGGTCCACCTCCGATCGTGCACCGCTCCTTACTCCGTTTCTAAGTTGAGAAACGGCGAGCCGCAACAGCCGCCTCCCAAGGTATCGAATGGACGTGCCAAAACGGTCCCGGTACGACGTGTAGAAGCTGGAGAGCTTCGCCTGGAACTATGGGTGGAAGAGGCACGGCAGAAGTTTAATGAACCGGTGGACTCTGAACATCCACCATGAGCTGCGGATCTCTATCTTATAGCTTGCTGCCGTGTTCGTCTAGTTCACCATTACTTTCTGATTTCAGTGAAACATTTTCTGCTCCTTATCTCATATCTCCATTTATCTCATTCTTGTTTTAGCGTGACCAATGATCGAACATACATGATGGATGAGGAAATTAGGCACTGTCGTCCGAGTGAGCGGCGCAAATATATAAAATGGGGAGCGGACGATTTCTGGGACTCGCATGGCATTACATAGATCTGGTTCATATCTTTCCTTGTCTTTTTGCTCGCAATTTCTTTCCGTCCATTTCTGCCTGTCGTCATTCTGTCACGTTCCTTTTCCCCTTCTATTTCTCTTCTCTATTACTACTTATATCTCTCTTCTTTTTTTTTTTTTTTTTTTTCTTTTTTTTTTCTCTTCTCCTTGCCCCTTTTCCTTTTCTCTTTTACCTCCAAATTTTCTCATCTCTGGAGACGTCTCTATTTCTTTTTCCAAGCATTCTCCATTCTCCTCCCCGCCATTTCCACGGAGTGTTCTCATTTTCATACCATTTCCTATTGTATTCCGCTCGTCTCCTTTGTTGAGCTCTCTCTCCAACTACATGATCCTAGCAAATTCAAATATCTAGCAACTAGCTGCCAAAAAGTTGCCAGCATGGTCCCCACTGCTCGGGGAGGGTCTCGAGTCCTGTCCGTAATCGTTAATTTGTCCCCATCGCATTTATTTTGGCATATCCTTGTTTCTCTCGGCGTGTGTGTGTGTTTGCCTCTGTTCTTCCTTCGCCTCGCTTTGACTGCCGTGCCCATCTTGGAAATGTGATCCAGTGAAAGGGATCTTGACACGATTTGGCTGCATAAAGTCACGAAACCAGCTGATAATGGGATACAGGCGTCCACAGTGTGTCAGTGTCACTGAACTCCATATCGCCTTACATGGAAGAAAAATCAAAGCTGAGTTACGGAAACCGACAGACACACAGCTGCTGCTATTCGAGAAAACTGGGGTGTTTAATACAATTGGTTGTGCTTATCCATGAGGTTGTCTGATCGATTGGCTATGGAAAAAGAACGCAGATGACCCATCTGTATGGAAGGAAACCTTAAAAAAAATAGAGGAGGAAGAAGAATGGTTCCTAACGCATCATGTGAGTTATTATTTTTCACCTGTATATTGTGGCATATATGCGTGTTGGTCATGTGCTATGCTGCCTATCCTGTGAAAGTCTTGTCTGGTTCTCTTTGAATCTCCATCAAACACGGCTCTCGTGGTTGCCTTTTTGACTCGTTGTCAGCGCTTGTTGGGCTCAGTTTTCCATCTTATCATCATCGCCTACGTTGTTCTTTTGTTTTTTGACTGGTGCTGTTACTTTTGCGTCCTCATGACTGATAAGATGTGATGTTATGGATATGAGATAGTGATGAGTAGTAGACTAGGCCGGGCACTCGGTAGGCAGATAGGTAGGAAGTTCCTTTTTATGATCTCAATCTCTATAGTAATACTTTCTCGATTTCATCTTTGGTGCACACTTCTCCTTTTTCCATGTTGCCGTATCGTCTTTATGGTCCGTTCCAGCGCTTCCATAGTCATATGATCCCTCTCTTCATGCGGCAGTCCGTCGCTGTAATTTATTTTTGAACAAAAGTTATTGGTGGATTTCATCTCGCTTTATACTAGTTCTCAGGCCATATAGGCCATATCACGTGATACTGTATATGGTATCCATCATACACCTATCCTACAGATTTCAGCTGATTCTTACCCCGCCAGTTTCTTGCATGTACTATACCAAAGATGTCCAGGACATGTGATCTCTGATTTGTCATAATATGATCTTCCTTTTGGATTATAGTTCTGAATGCGTCGAGGCATCGTAATTATAGAAGAGCTGGGATATATCGATGACTACTTTAAGAAGTAGATGAAGAGAGAAGAGTAATAACCAAGTCATTGATTTATTGGATTATGTCAAAATGAGAATCAGATATCCATTCTAAGTTACCTTAACCAAGAGAAATGGTGAGATTAGAGCTGATAGAGAAGGAAATAATAGAGAAATAAAGAAGGATGGATGAGATAGGGGGGCTGGGTGAGAAGGGAAAGAAGGCGGGGGGGGGGATGTGATGATGGAGATAGATGCTAGGGGAATCGCTTCAGTGGTTCAACCACTAGAATAATGAAACCAAGACCTGTGATGCATTCCAACATCCAAGAAAGCTTTCTATCAATAACTGGGCACTGCTTGTCTGTCTTGTCTTCATGCTCGGATGAAGCAGGAGTATGATCGCTGTTGGGTTTGTCTGGTATGAGAGAACATTTCTGCGTAACGCTGAATAGCCGATTGCTGTTATACCGAGAGCATGCGAGAGGCGAGAGATACGGTGACGGGTTAGACGCTGGATTTGATGTAAAGATAGCAAGCAGAAACTGTGTTGGGAAAGAGGGAGGGAAGTCGGTATACCAAGATGGGAGCTGCAGTATCGACACGTGTCGATCCAGGGTATGGTTTGTCGCTTGTTCTGGACTGAAACGAGGTGCAAAGGCTTAGCGGAGCAAGATCGTCCATCAAGGTCGTCGATCAGAATAGTGGTTGGCGCCTGACGGATTCATGTTGATACCACTAGTATCGCCATGGGGGTCTAGTATCTACCCTTCTCGCCGGATCTTGAAGAGGATTGCCCTGATTGTTCACACCCCTATGTACGACGTTTGTAGGCACAGGGCGTCCTGGTGGGTTCCTAGGTTGTCCTAATGGGTGCTGAAGCCAGCCTTGTCCACCCCAGCCATTTTGGATGCCAACGGGTGCATCGAATCGGTGAGCGACAGCTGGGGGATTGGCTCTTCCTACTGGGATAGCTGGCCCTGGATACACCACATGATTGGGCCGGATTGGCGCTTGCCCTAAATGGCGTATGAGTCCATTATCAGGACCTTGAAGGACGTGCGACATATTCGCGGCCGAGTCTTTTGCGTCATGGACTCGCAGCTCCTCCTCCTTTAAATCAGGGTTTTGTGCCAATAAAATATCGATAGTGTCTTTTTGAGCTTTCTCAATCTCTTGTAATGAGCGTAATGCTGGAATGTCATGGAGGGGACAGTGGGTCGGAGCACGCCCGAAATGCTCGTACATCTCTCGGGAAATATCTCGTCTGCAAACGTAGCACATTGCAGTCCGGCATTTGGAGCAAATCATCCTGTTGCAGCCCATCTCCTTGACAATCTTCACTTTGCATTTGGGGCAAGGGCGGATCAGAGCCTCGCTCATTGCCTCTTCGACTAAGTGACGTTGAGGAAGATTCTTCTCTTTGTTGGCTTCTGCGCAAGTGCGCGGGATATGGCTTTCCTGCTTGCAGAGACGACAACTAACTATTTCGCATTCAGGGTTTTTGCATACGAACTCGCGGTCCTCTTCCACGGGCGGATAGATGGCTTTAAATTCACAGAACGGACAAGATTCAAGACCTTCCAGCTCAGCTTGCTGGATCTCATCTTGCTGCTGAAGGCGGTCGAGCTTTTCCATCAAACTCTCGCCGATAGCTTCTTGTAGCCGCGCGCGAGAAAACTTTGCCTGACAGCCACTAGTATCGACACACTGGACTTGATATCTCATAAGCCCAATTTGAGTCTCCGCAGACTTTCGAATGCACGCAAAGCAGAAGAGATGGACGCTATCACCCTCACAAGGAAGTGATCGGTTCGCTGGAACATCGAGGTAGCAACACTGGCATTCGATGAGGTTCCCAGCTCGGCTGTGTTCTTCTTCGTTTTTGATCTCAGCCTCTTGCTTTTCCTTCTTCTTGCGAATGGCATCTTTGCGGGAGAGTGATGATCAGTATGTATCCCTTGTTATCAGAGAGAAATCACTTACCGTCCTCCTTTTCAGCTTTCTTCTTGGCGGCTCCTAGTTCGCGAGCCAGGTTCTCAGCAATAGATACCTCATCATCCTCTTTGCCCAGATTTGGTACATTCGAAAACCTTTTGCTTTTCAGCTTTGTGTACTTTCCCGTCTGTTCACTCTCTTGAGAATGTAGAGTGAGATACGCGGCAAAGAGCTCTTTCTTCTCTGCCAGAACATCCCGAATATGTTTCATCGGCATCCACCCAAATTCTTGGGCTAACAAATTGGCTCTAAAGTAGAAGGTCAGCGTTTAGGATTTCATGATTATAGGCGGTGCACTTACGCTAGTTGGACGTATGCACGACTACCTCGTTGTGGTATATCTCGCAAATACCGTATCGTAGCTTCCTCGTCTGTGTCCTCAATCTTACGTTTCTTGGCCTTTTCCTGCTTAGGATAGCTAGGATGCCGTAAGATATCTTCAATAACACTTTCCTTCAATGAATCTAGGGGCGGCGCAGGTTGGTTCTCTTGGGGCTTCTTATGAAGTTCGATCAGCTCTTCCACATGCTGGTGACTGATGCCCGGAAAAATGTCTGTGATCTGCCACAATAATTCATCGTCCAAAGTGAGATCGATGTACACTGCTTCAGAGTGCGTATTGGAGCGTGATGAGGTTGACGTGGTGGCAGTGGTCGATGATGAGAGCGATTTGGTCGATGGACGCGAGGAGGCCCCTGACTCGATCCCTGACTCAAGACGATTGTAATCATCATTATCACTGTCCAGGATGTTGATTATGGATTCATGACTGTTGCTGCTTTTGCTGCTGCGACTGCTGTCGCGACTAATCTGCCTTTGTTTCTTCATTGGTTGGTCATAGTCAGGCAAAGGATAGAAACCGTGCTCGTACAAATCCCAAAGCAGCGCAGGGTTGTCATCCAGAGTGAGATCTGCATTTGCATGGTCCATATATCCCATTCTTATAGGAAGCGCAGAATACAAGGGATTGGTGAAATTGGGCCCCTCCATTGTTCTTGTTGCTTTGAGCGAAAAGAAAAAGCGTTATATTCCTACGTTTGAAAGTTTCTGAAAGGGAATCCAAGGTGAACCAAAGGATCAGAGCTGATGACAAAAGTAAAGTGAAATTGGGGGCCGCTAATTAGCTGTGGTTGGTTTTTATTAGGGGAAGGAAGTAGTGGTGAAGATGTTAAATGAAACGTTGCCTGGAGAGGCAGACCCCGCGATAGTTGAGGAACGTCGGCAACAGCCGTATATCGCTCGGGAGAGTGAAAGTAATGTGATGGGGCTATCTATGCTCTATCAGTCTGAAGGGCGTGCGGCTGTTTGTAGAGCAATAAGCGTACAGCCAAGGCGAGCTTGGCTTATTGTCTTGTGTACACCTGACAAGCATGAATGAATGATACACAAAGGCTGTCAGTGAACCTACTCAAGTGAGGATCAGGCTCGTCCGAGGCCACCACCCAAGCAAGGCTGAGGAAACCAGCCCACAGCCTCTGAGTGTTTGCAAGGCGCTATCCTGCTACCAGGTCGCTAAATTTGTATAGGAAATGTTGGTGAATGGAGAGATATTGTCTAGAGGTTGATCATCCGAATGCCTGGTCACCCAACGGGGAATAGTATCAACAGGCCCAAGATTGGCACACACACACACAGTGGGGCAGAAGTCCGTCAACAATGCTGGGGAAAATCCTATCTACAACGGGGGTAGTTCCGTTGTAAGCCGTAGACTAAGACACCGATCAGGCAAGTAAATGGAGGAGGCGTCTCAGCCCGTGACGCTAGACGGAGAAATAAGAAAGCAGCCGCCACCATCCAGACGGAGCAGCAGCAATTGCGAGACTGAACGGGGATTCCTCGAGTGGGAGAGATGGTTGGGGGGATCCAGAGAACAAACCCCCGCCGGGTCTGACAGCTGCCCCACGTGACAGGTACCGGTACTCTCCGACCGCCTGCCCAGTATGGGAACTGTCTTGTTTGTCAAATGCCTACAAAGGGGGGAAAAGTCAAACAATCTGACTGACTCATCACGGGCATTCAACAGAACTAGAAAGTTAATATCAAGTTCCGGGCAGTTTAATCATTCCTAGACAACTCGATCCAAAATAGCTTGTAGCCCATTATATTCCACGGCGTCATTTCAATCCAACCCCGGTAGTCCCCGAACCCCAGACCAGATTTCCCCCCATTCCTGCGAGCCCTATGCCCTAAGGAATTGTGTGGTCATCATGCGCCGCTCGACGTCACGGGGCATGAGACGCAACCCAATCCAGGCAAGTCCATCCCTCAGCTTCTTTTACCGCTGCGCTTGTCGCCGCTTGTCGTCGGCTGTCGGGGCGAATAGAATCAGCTGCCTGCGCGTCCAGTAAGTTATCCCGGGCACGTCTACTTTCTTATCCTTATCGGTTCATCTATTATATTCGGTGCCCCCCTTGCGGTCCTGCGCGGACTCCGGTCAAACACCTTCGGAGTTGCTCCTTTGCTTTAAACATTTGCTTTCTCTGAACGCGCCGTGTAGTCCTTTCACCACTTCTCTTCACTGGAATCGCTTTCACCCTTATACCCAAGTTCCTCCATCAGACAACAAGAACGAACCCCTCTTTTCTACCGAGTAGACATCAATCATGATCGCTGCTGACAACTCCTATTTCAACGGCAAGGAGCTCCCTCAAGGGGACTCCCCTGACCTGGTGCTGGTTCCTGCCACCCCCGGGGAGCGGATTGAGTCCATCCGTCTCAACAGCAAAGCATGGAAGGGCCGTCTGGACCTTGAGACGTATATCACGCGCGAGAACCATCTGTATCAGCAACGGCTGAATAAGGATGGCTTGACCTGTTGGATCTTGGTTGATCGCAAAGAGCCGGAAGAGCATAGAACGATCCTCGGTTCTTGCGAAACATACCGAAAGAAAGCCATGTTGGCACATGACGGTATTGTGGAGGACGTCGCAACTCATGGTATTGGAAGTGTCTATTGCCGGCCGGACTTCAGAGGCAAAGGATACGCCAAGAGAATGATGCAGGAGCTGAGCGAGAAGATCGAGACTTGGAAGATGGAGACAGAGACTCGAAAGCGTTGCCTTTTCACAGTTCTCTTTTCTGATATCGGAAAGGACTTTTATGCTCAATTTGGTTGGCAGCCATACACGTCATGCCATTTTGCCTTGTCGCCCATTTCCGAGGAAGTCTATGCCACTGCCAATGCTCAGGCAAATTTCCCGAAAACAAGGATTTTGACACCGGAGGACGTCCACGAGAGCATTTGTAGTGAGGAGGTCTTGCAAAAAGAGCGTGAACTGTTGAGGGCGGCCTCTCAAAAGTCATCAGTGCCCAGAATTGCGATTGCACCGAACTTCGAGCACTTTGAATGGCACTGGGCAAGAGAAGAATTCTATGCGGAGAGGATATATCCCGACCGCGAATTGCCTCGCGCAAAGGGTGCTGGAGAAGACAGTGCCGGGGTGTACTGTGCCTGGAACAGGAACTTTGGTGAAACGCCCGAGGAGAATACCCTGTACATTCTCCGATGGGTGTACGACGAGCCCACCTCACCAGAACAGGGCGAAAAGGTTGTGAAAGCCATGGCGGCGGTCCTGCGACGTGCTCAGCTCGAAGCGTGCAGATGGAACATGGCAACAGTTGAGTTCTGGAACCCAACGCCACTATTGAAAAAGGCAGTTGCCTTGCTGGACCCCAAGGCCGAAGTAGTTCACCGGGAGAAGAGCAGCATCGCGTGCCTGAGATGGACTGGTGCCGAGCACGGCTTGGGTGCAAACGTGGAATGGCACTTGAACGAGAAATATGCTTGGTGCTGAGAGACACCTGCTTCCACCCTGATAAACATCATAATGCCTCTAGAATTAGAGCCTCAACGCTTCTGTCGCTTCTGGTTCTTGAATAATTCATGCCAGTTTCTCGTCTTTTTCGCAGCGGTAGACGCACTAGCATCTGTCGAGAGATTCTTCTTTAGTTTCTGCCGATCTTCATCACTGACAAAGCAGACGGTCGTTGGATCAGGGAATCTATGCTTGTCCTCCTGTACACACTGTTAGAGTAGAGCAAGAAAGACGAAGAGTAATATCCTACCGTAAGCTTCGAAAACGTAGCTTCCTCCCTCCAGCCTTCTGGCAGATGATCCTTCCAAGCGTTGAGAAATTCGCTACGTCCAACAGCAGCAGCCGCCGTAGGCGCCGCAGCCTCTAAATAGGTTTCACCAACCCATCGCACGCACCGCTCCTTATCAATACTAGCCCCTGCACCAGTAGATAAAAGAGTCAACTCCGGCCAGTCAAATCCAGGCCTTTCGGGGTACAGGGAACTTACACTTTAATTCCCCCTCCAACAACGACCCTTCATCACCAGTCTCACAAACCCTCCCTACAACCGCCTCAAACAACTCCCTCGGCCACTCACCCTCCCCATCTTCATCAAGCATCGACTTCCACAAATCCCCTACCAAGAATTGCGTCCCCAGATCAATGCCCTGCAACACAGCCCCCTCAACCACTCGCTTCCACACCCCAACCTTGGCCCTCGCCGTCGGCACCCACCCACGGCCCGTAGCAGGTAGCACAAACGCACAAATATTCTTCCAGACCCTCGCACATTGCAGGTTCGACACCGGAACATCAGCAAATAGCTTCTCAACGATCTGCCTCCGGTCCGTAGAGTCTACCATCATCCCACCGTCCCCCGTAGACATGGAGATGTCTTCACTAGAGTCATACTTTCCCAGCAACCCCTCTAATATCGGGATAATGTTGAACCCCTCCTGCGGGGTCTGTAATTCAAGTGTGGACCCGCACTTCGCGATCGCAGTCATTGTCTCGGAGAGGTTCAGGTCGGGGACGGGCTCGTCGTTTTCCTGTGTGGCACCGATGACGGCGAGGTCGCCGCGCTGGGTACCATCGTCGCTTGGGCGGAGGACATGCAGTGAGTTGGAGGACTGGACTTGGCGAATGCGGTAGGTTTGGGTTGGGGTGCAGAGGTTGATGTAATCGCGGGTGGTGTCGGTGGGAGCGTCGGTGGTGGGTGTGGGGGATTTGATTTCGAGGCTGTTGGTTCAATTGATTAGTTCGACGTTCCTTGAATTGGGTGGAAGAGGGGCAGAGATTGGCATCGAGTTGCTGTAGACATACGTTGGAGGATTGTCGGAGGCAAGAAGTTCTGCGAGATCTGGTGGCAGTTCGAGTAATCGGAAGGCCTGTTGCGGGGCCGTGTGGGTGAAGAGGATGCTCTGAGCGGATTGTGTGGACATTTTTTACCTCAATGCCGTTCCAGGGTAGAAGATAAGGACCGGTGGAAGGATTGCAGTCGCTTAGATTATGTTCCCTTCCTGAGGATTGTAGATGTGCAGAGGAACATTCCGGGTGGGCTCTGGACGCGGTACGCGTGCTTTTCGAGATCGATGGATGCACGGGCCACCGCTTAATTTGCAAAGGGCACTTGCCATGTGCCTAGGGTGTGGGAATCAGAACGAATTTACATCTTACGAAATTTGGATGTGGAACATCGTTCGGAGCTGTTGTTTAGTTTAATATAGTAGTTCATGGTCTATGCTGTACATAATTAAAAGCTATCATCTCAGCCATAACATAGATCAACAAGATTATGTGTTTCTTGTGTGATCAGACAATCAAGTAGAAGCAAAGGAAAGGAAAGCCATGTCAAATATAGTCCCCAACACCATTTACACAGTACAGGAGCCCATCCAGAAACAGTAGTTCCAGTCAAAGAAAGTCGCCCTGTGGCCAGCACAGCGCTGTATGGTCAGTCTATAGTGAGGTTTCCAGCGCCGTTGTTCGAGAAAACTCCCTGACCCAATTCTTGTGGCCCGTTTCGACTATCACTGGACCTCGACGCTCCAAGCATCACTGCTCTATTGCTTCGCCTGTTTTCTTTCTTTTGTTGACTCTTCCTGTTTGATCGCGGCACTTCCCTGCTCTTTCGCAGCGGGCTGGGCCACGGGACCTTCTTCGCTGCCTTTGGTACTATCGGCATCCGATGATGACGAGTAGTCACTCGCCTGGCTCTTCCCTTCCTTGTCGATGGCTTCTTGTATATTCGCAGTATCGTCCTCCCACTGCGACTTGGCGTCCTTGAACAGCGTTTGAACCCGCTCAGCACGCTCAGCCTGTTCTTGTTCTTCTCTCTCACGTTCCAGTCGCTCCTGCTCCATTTCCTCCATATGCTGGAGATCATCCACACTCGGCTCGTAAAGATGCCAAATCGTGTAGTGCGGAAGGCCAATGACTGAAAATCCCATCCGTCGCGCCATCTGTTTAAAGTTAGTATATTGCATATAAAATTACGAGCGTAAAGTCTCACCTTTCCGAAACCTTCAGTCTCGGCGTGCTTCTCGAAACTGAAGGCTGGGAAATGGACACCGGCCCGGAAGACACGGGCTTTTGCCAGAATACTGACACCTCCCACACCATCAAGCTCCATCTCCATATCAGGATCCCCGTACGGGTCACGCAGATATGCGAGGTGAGGTCTCCACGTTGCATACTCGGCATAACCCTCCACAATGACTGCATCCTCGTCCAGAGTTTCGGCAAGGGCCAGCGCGGTTTCGGATTCCTGCCAAGAGTTCAAATCGTACGGTTGTTCCCCACCTAGCCAATCCGGCAGGGGACGCCAAACATCTATTCTCAAGGTTAGAATGCAACAGCAGAGGTCGCGCGTAGTACTTACTCGGAACGATAACATCCTTGTCATGTCTCATAAGGTCCTCCAAAATCGTAGTCGGAGCCGTCAAGACGTCTGCATCTCTCCAGTAGACCCAGCTATGCGTCGGACGCAGAGTCGCGCTAAGCAGCCAGTTCCGTGCCTGAGCCATCAACTTTCTGCGACTTGCCTGGGCGGCAAAACCGTGTCTACTCTCCACATCTTGTTGAACCTGTTGACCAAAATCCTTCTGGATGACCGAGATCTCTCCGAACGACATCTTCGCATCGGCGTCGTTCTGCAGATCATCCAGCATCGATGACAGCATTTCCATCGTATCGTCTTCGGAATCTGAAACCAAAAATGCCAAATCAATCAGGTTATGAGGGTATGTAAGGTTGCGAAGATGCGAAAAGAACATCGGCAGGTGAGATGCGGCATCCCTCAAGGGTGTGCACATGAGTACCCGTTCTCCATGCTCCCAACCACTTCCACTACCCTGCATCTTAGACAAGTCATAGTATCGGACTGTTTCTAACTGTAAATCTTCGGCGGAGGAAACAAGGCCAAGCGAGACTGCGGGAAGGAATAACGCTCGAAATGAAGGGAAAATGAGGATCAACAGCAGCGTTGAGATGGCGGCAATGAGGCACAGTCGTTGAAGGAGCTGTCTTCGACGTCGCAAAGCCGGTTGTGGGCGCGGTTGAAAGCTAGCAAACCAATGTCAGTCAAAACATCCTCCTGAACAACGAATTTGGTGACTGATATGCCAGGCCACCGATTGGCCTTCAGCGAGATCGATTTCATGTGAAGGTAGTGTTGGTATGCGATGATCTTCGACAGTTGCAGGGGCCGCTTACCGGTGGGGAGAGATAGAAAAGGTGTTGTGGCTGGCTTTGCCGCGAGGGTAGGCAGCATAGCCGTTCGAGAAGGCGTGATGCCGGTTCATCTCTCCTACAATTGCATGTAGCTGGGAAAAAGGTCCTGAAGCAAAGAACCTCCGGGGCTCCTAGATCCCGGAGCGATGACCACCAGCTTCAAGAATCCCTGGAATGCGCTTACGGGGGGAGTAAGAAACAACACCGACGTGGGCACGAGCGACGAAGAATGTTAGCGGATCGCAGATCCAGGAGATTAATAAAAAGGTACCGAAAAGGAGTCAAGGGACCGAACGAGCGTGAGAATTGAACAACGAAGTCTGACGGTAGCATTGATTGCGTCGACCGAACGTAGGCTCAAGGCGGCGACGAGCAAGAAGCGCCAAGCGTGGCCCGCCTTTCCGGGTCCAGATCCGAATCCGGCATCTGGCCTGCTACCGTTTGCAGCCATGCAACCTCCCTCTTGCTCGTCTCTCTCCTCTCTTACTCCACGTTTTTCTCGGTTCCATTATCTTCGGATCAGCTGCGGTGGTTATCCATCTTGATTGGCGGCTAATCGATCCTGTACAGTTCATTTTCTAAATACAGCAAATGTGGATTTTCATGTCCCAAAAACTCCTTATCTGCAAACCCAGGTTCAACCAAAGATTCGAAGTAACGCCCTAGAAATGCTCCTAAGTTTGGGATAGCACCGCGCAAAAGGCACAGAACAGAAGAGATGATGTCAAAAGTATTTCCAGGCTTGCCAACTAACGCGCAGTCAGCCGCGATACTCTTGATTGAGGCGAGCCCATGCCCTTGACGCCTATCTCGATTTGTCGCATGATCTTCTGCAGCAGCCCATCCATGCGCGGCACATCCCGCAAGGCCGGAATGACGGATGCGGCCTCGTATTCGCTATCCAAGATATAATATCGTTCCCTTCCCCAGTTCTCCACCGTCTCCTTTTGAAATGCGACTCTCGCAATAACTTTGGCTGGAACGCTAGCCTTGTTCATCGCACTCTTGGAAAACACCCGCAGGAATGGCCGGAGTCCAGACCGCGTCTGGTGTGCCATTCGGACCGATAACGGGGCATCGGTCGTTAGGTGGCTCTCTCCGGTCAAACCGCCGGGATCCATTGTGTATACATTGAGCGAGATGTTGCCCGTCTACCCCATTCGGCTTTTGTTAGTGGGGTACTTTTGGAACCGTAGGGAAGGACTACTCACAAGTACCAGACTTCGACGCAGGGCATACATGGCAGCGCTCATTAGCAGCTTACTACTTCCGAAGCGACTGGTCGCTTCCTTGGCGCCAATTGGTGTTCCTGGCGGCTGGGTGGCACTCTCCGTGTCTTCGCCGTCAAAATAGTCCAGGGATCCCTTGGATATGGAGGAGCACCCGATATTGATTACTCGAGCTCCACCGTTCGGTGTACCGTCGCCTGCGCGGAAGGCCTCGAGCAGGCTCACGGTCAACAGGAACGGCGCGATGCAGTTGGTCTGGTAGACGGGATCGTACCCATCTCGTGTGACTTGATCGGTAACGTATGACGAAGTTGCGGCGGAGTTGATCAACAAGATCACGGGAGGGATCTCTTTACTTCGCACCCTCTCGACGGTGTATTGGGAAAAGCTCACGACTGAGTTAAAGCAGGCCAGGTCTGCCTTAACCACCTCGACGGAGCGGGGTCCAATGAGACGGATCCTGTCCGTCACATCCTTGACGCTGTCGGATCTGATATCGCGGGCCACTAGCAGCAAGTGAACAAAAGGCTGCGCTTTGGCAATCGAGACAGCTATCTCCGACCCGAGCAATCCATTCGCGCCGGTGATAATAGCGGTACCAACAAGTGGAGTACCCATGACGAAGGTTGGCCAGCACAACCAACAAGAAGTCCAAGAATAGATATTAACGGTAAGGGGGTAGTAGAGAAGTAGGTAACAAGAATAATAGCAATGTCAGCGTAGAGCCGAACTCAGCGCTATAACATGCTTAGGGCGCAAGGGAAAAAGGTTCAAGAAGACAAGAACAAGAGAAACCCAAAATCGCAAACGACAGGCGACAGGGTCTCAGAAGTTTAAGAATCACGGAATCAGTCAGACAGACAGAGACAGACAAGATGATTAGTTCCCCTCTAAGCGATCAGCAAACAGGGTTCATTAGATAAATCCCGATCAGAGCATGATGGGGCACTTTTCGGCAAGTCAGTCTCCAGCAAGGTAAGGTAGGTCAAGGAAATCACCGACAGCCTTTCGCCTCAAATTACAGTAGCAGAAGTATTAGCAGTAGCACAGCGACGATAATAATAACAATGATAATAATCAAAATAAAATAAAAACCCCAGGACTAACGAATTGCAGCAATTGCTGACCACCAGCAAAGCACAAGGGGGGCAAAATAAAAAAAAAATTAATAATTAAAAATAAAAAGGAAAAGGAAAAGGAAAAAAGTCGTATACGAGTAAGAGGCCCAAGAGGAGAAAAGAAAAAAAAAATTAGTTTACTTGCACTCGATCCCCGTCCCGAACCAAGGAAATCGACCAAGATCGAGGCGCCGGGAGCCGATGGGCTAATCGGGGGTTAGTTAGTTAGTCTACTACGGAGTAGATTTAGAATGGATGGTTAGTTAATCAGTTTTGAACGCCAGAGCCAGAATCAGGCACACGGCGGATAAGAGATGCTGCGCAAGAAAAAAAAGAAGCGACAAGAACCAACCAGGCCTGAAGTTTGAAACCGTGGGTGGGGAGGGGAGGGAGGTAACTAGTAACTAAAGTAGAAAAGTAGTACTAATCTAGGATTGTTCTCCGTAGGACCATTGAAAGTGAGGATGGATTTTGGGGGGAGGGGGGATCCACAGGCTTGGGTTCTTCGGATTGAGAAAACCTGAAAGGAAAAGGAGATGATGAATGGATGGAGCTTGGACGATGGATACTTACTTACTAGTTAGTTAGTAGCTGGTTAGGTAGTACTCTAGTCTTGGGTTGATGGATACTTATGTGGGGTTATTAATAGATGGGAGGAGGAGTTTGGGTATGGTGTCAGTTAGGGTACCAGGTAATAATGTCAGGATTTATGCACTTATTATCAGCGTCATTATAAGGTAGATGAAACACAGGTAGATACTTATTACACTAAGTACTCTTCTATTACTTATGATCAGGCCATACTAGTAATCGTGATCATCACTCATTATTCCCGACAAACAAACTGTAACAGTCGTGAGTTAAAATTTGCAAGGATTCATTCTCCAGTCCTTGCACTTTCCTCTCTGTTCCTTAAATTAGCACAGGTTGAAAGAAGGAAAGGCAAAAAGGCAGGTCGGCGTAAGTGGAGGCGAGACATGCATACAGACGACGGCAGCCACTGTTACGCCCCTTTATGCATGTAGAAGACATCGTTCCAATTCCATACTCTTCTTCGCGTTACTGCTGGTTACTTGAACGGAGAGAGTATTTGCTTGACTCATCACCTCATCATCTTAGTATCTGAGTAACCAATTCATCAGCTAATAAACTGGACCAAGTGTGTGAATGAATGATCAATAGATTATTCTCCGATGCAACATACTTGTGTACCACCTCTGTTCTCATCGTCCAAAAGCTACTGTTCAGCTATGACGGGTGACGTTCACATCGCCAACTCGACTATCCTATTAACAGCAACATGAATATTGAACAAGCACGGTTGGGATTCAAATAAAAACAAAAGCACTCATGATAATTCAATTATTCCTGACCATAAGATCTCTTGGAGTAAAACTAATAAAAATAAAATAAAATTCACTACACTTTCATACTGCCATTCCATATCCCACAAGTACCTACTTCACTAGATCCGTCCGTGCATCCAGACATATCGTATACCACTAACAACTAGCCTCTTAAGTACTTACTTTATACCATCGCGTAACCACCTTGCACCATTTGACGTGATTCCTCATACTACTGACGACTTACCCCAAAGTGGCGCGATCGAACGCATGTTCCTTCTGCAGACTAGTATACACGCTAAGGCGAATTAAGTAGAAGTAACCAATGACCGGGATATGTCTGTTGTGCTTGTGTTTGTGACTGAATTGGAATGGGAAGGGAATGGCACAAAAAGAAGGGTAAGCAAGGATTAAGGGTCTAGGTGCGCGTGATGAATGGATACTAGATAGATGAGGATGAGTTGCGTTATCTCCGAGGTGAAGGGTGGGGAGTTCTCGGAGGTAAGTCATTACTATTACTACGACCTAGTAGCTTAATATATAACTAAAGGTGGAAGACTGAATAGGGGACAGTATTACTTAATTGTGCGATATGCTGTGTGTCTGTGTAGGGGGCAATGTTGGAGTGGCGACGAGGTCTAGACTACTGTAAGTTCCTAGTAGGAAGTCCCCTTCAATTGTTGAAATCCCGCTCATTGTTACTAACTACACACTAAGCTTACTATATATTGGGATATATGACACCTCCATCCGACTAATTATTCTTCGGGAATAGGACGAACTGACATGGCTGGCCAGCATCTCCAATTGTCCAGAACGAACTGGCGTCGGGATGAACCATCCCCGCTGAATCAGGCGGAGTGGAGTCATCCAACTATCTCACCAGTTGACCAACTAGTTGACGTCTGACGGACGGGTTTGCCCGCTGGACGCTGCTCCTGCATCGAACTACTTGGGGATGGATGAGGTTATACGAGAAATCGGCCCCGCCCCGGCAGAGTCGCGCGGGAATAGCACTGCTTGGCACCACCAGCCGTTCCGAAACACTGGACAGCGTGCTGTCGTGGTTGCACTTGCCATCCCTGTTCAGTCTCTTGTATTCATTCCCACACACGTGTTGGATGTCAAAGGTACAGTAAGTAGCGTACATCCCCCGCCTCGCCTCGCCTCCTCTCCAGACACCTTCCTTCTTCCCATGGATACTGAGAGACAACACTGCAGGGATCCATTCTACATCACGCACAATAGCTAGCGCCGTATTCCCCCTCCCCGGGCGGACCAGTCTACGACACGGAGTGCCCGGATCAAGGAATACCTTGGCATTGCTGACACGTCTGTTTCTGCTGGTCTCGGCATTGCAAGAAAACTGGCTGTGCTGCGCCTTCAGGAAGTACGCCAATCCTCGGGTGAGAGGAAAGATGTGCATGGTATGGATGTTGTCATGTATAACCCGGGATAAAATGCAAGTAACAACACACGTATTTGGTTTTGGATCACGTCGTGCAACACACCGCCAGCCGCAGCTGATCAATACTCGTCCCACTCGCCCTGGATGTCTCGGACTTTCATGCCAAAATGTCCACCAAAATCTTGATCTGGTTGTCTCGGCCGTGGGTTAAGGATTTGAAGCCTTTTTCGACGATGTCTTCCATGCGGATCTTACTGGTGATCAAGGCCCGAGGGTTGAGTTTGCCTGTGTTCGGTCAGCTTCGGTATAACGTGTGCTTGGTCAAGCATGACTGTCTGCCAGTCACGTACCTGACCACATAGCATCGATGACGGCCTCGAATTCTCCGTCTTCATATATCACCGACCCTACCACGTGCTTTTCGCCTAGTACCACGTCAAATGCATCGATTGCCGGCTTGTCGCTCCAGAGAGACAGAATCGTCATTGTGCCCCGTGCCCGGATCCCTTTCAAAGCGGTATCCAGTCCTGCTTGCACAGCAGAGCATTCAAATGCTATATCAGCTCCGGCATTGCCCGTCATTGCACGCACCGTGGCCACAACATCGTCAGCCCGGGGGTCAAGAATACGCGTAGCGCCCAAAGAACTGGCAAGCTCCCTCCGCTGCGACGAGACCTCCACAACAACAATGTTTTCCATGCCACGGGCCTTGAGAACCAGAAGCACAGCAAGCCCAATGGGTCCAGCACCCACCACCAGCGCCGTACGAGCATGATCATTCTGAATAGAAGACCGATTGACTGCATGCCATGCCACAGTCAACGGTTCAACCAGCGCTACACAATCAGTACCATACCCCGTAGTTAGGAGTAAGAAACGATCAACTCACCCCCAAGATCCAACTCAAACCCCTCCGGCAATCTCACAGCTCTATCCTCCTTGACAACAACATAATCCGACAATCCCCCAGCACTACCTGCACATTATCAGCCAACCCTTCAATAGACACCACTCTACACCAAGAACCAAAAGAAGAAAAAAGAAAGACGGATAGAATATACCACTAAATCCCACAAACCCCAAATTATCACAACAATTCACCCAACCCCCAAGACAAGCCGCACACCCACCATCAAACAAATTCGGCTTAATAGCCACATTATCTCCCACATGGAGACGAGTCACTCCCTCTCCTACTTCTATAATGGTCCCACTGAACTCGTGACCTAGTGTCACGGGGATCTTCTCCCCCGTTATGGGGTGCGTAGTGCTCGGGATGGTCGACGGGCCGTGGAGGTATTCGTGGATGTCTAATCAGTCTAGTATTAGCCTGGCCTTGACTTTCTGCTCGTAGCATATATCAGAGATAGATTTAGATGGGAGGAGATATGTTCGTACCACTACCACATATCCCCACGAAAGCAGGTCTGATCTAGTATCACAATATTAGTATATCATACCATACCAATAGGAGAGTACCAAATCAGTATAAACAAGATAATAGACCATGCAAGAACCAACAGAATCATAAGTTTAGAATAATATAATACTCAGAATAACCTGCTAGGAACTGAAATAAGGATAAGATAGAAAGACGAACCTTCACCTCACCCACCCCGCACGACCCGGGTTCCTGGATCTCCTCAACTCGGATATCGCCTCGGCCGTGGTATCGGACTGCTCGCATGGTTATATGGGTCCTTACTATATGGAATGTATATCACTTCGGAGAGTAGTTTCGTGAATAATGGCATGTATGTAATATACTAAGGTTGATATTGGCAAGGAAAGATGGAAGAGAAACAAGAATGGTCCTGAAGGTTGGTTTTTGGTAATTGTCATGTTCCGGTAGCGGGAGATTTCCGCGATGTTTGGGTACGTTCTCGGAGGGGGTGGTAAACTTGGCAGGTATTGTTGTGAGGGGTAAGCTTAATGGAAGTTTAATGTGAGGTTATGGGTATAGAGATAATTTATCAATAATTCATTCCCATTCCTCGTCTAACTTGCAATGGCGCTATCAATCATAACTAACTATTTACGTTTTTGATGAGAGCAGCCCCTCTTTTTCTTTTTCTTCCAATTCAAACTGCCTTTTATATTTGCCCCCCCTCCGAATCAATTAATCCCTTACCGGACAGCCGCACCCTTCAGGGTCTTGACTGTGCAAAGGCCACCGGACTGCGTCTTCAGCTTACCCAGAGCGGGCTTGTTCTCCTGGCCCTGCACAGCCGGAACGGCGCTCATCTCAAAGGCAACCTCGAGGGCATCGGTGGTGGTGAATCCAGGCTGGTAGGTCTCCCAGACCTTCTTCTTAGGGTTGAGAACCTTCTCGGGCTCACCCTCGGTCCAGCCCTCGAAGCACACGCGCTCACCGGCAGGGGCATCGGCAGGAGGCGAAACGAGCTCGACGGGACCAGCGTGCGAGTCCTCGCCCTCAGCCACGCGGGGAGAGGCGGCCAAGACCATGGCGCAGGACTTGATGCCACGCATGGTGACGGGCTTCAGGTTGCAGACGGCGACGATCTTGCGGTTCTGCATCTCCTCCAGGGGAATCAGACCGTTCAGACCAGAGCACACAGTGCGGACGGTCTTGCCGGTGGCCTCATCCAAAGAGGTGTTCTCGGTGCCCGGGGCGTCACCGCAGTCGATGGTCGAGACGTAGAGGGAGTCGGCGTTGGGGTGGTTGACGGCACGAAGAATGTGACCGACACGGAGGTCAATGACGGAGGGGGACGGGGGAGCAGCAGGGGCAGGCGCAGCCTTGGCCGGCTTCTCCTTCTTTTCCTTCTTCTCCTTCTTGGGCTTGCCCTCGGGCTTAGCAGCGGCGGCGGCGTCACCCTTAGCACCGTCGGCCTTGGCCGCAGCCTCGGGTTTGCCCTGTCCGACAACGAGGGGCTTGCCAGCAGCCTCGGCGGGCTTCTGGGCAGCAGCCTTCTCCTTCTTCTTGCGCTCCTTCTCCTCCTTGGGGTCGACGGGCTTGGGCACGAAGCGGACGTCGTTCACGTCAATGGTGACCTTCTCCTCGTCGGGGATCTGGAGAGCGAAAATGCGGCTGTTCTGGACGAAGTCGACGTGACGGACGATGTGGTGGTAGCCCTGCTCACCGGTACGCTCCTCGGGGGTCCATTTCTCGACAAGAGGAGCGACGAGGGCGTAGACGGCGATATCAGCCACGGAGGGCTTCGCACCGAGCAGAGTTGTGCGGGTGGCGAGGTGAGAGTTCAGCTGGGCGAGGATGGTCGAGACGACGGGCTTGTCATCCTTGCTGAGAGCGGTCTGCAGACCGGAGATGGTGGCCAGCCATTGCTTGACGTCGGCCTCTTCGGCGACGGAAAAGCTAGTCTGCGGGAAGATTTTGGGGGTGGCCATGTGAAGGTCGGGCTCCGTGGCGTCGGGGGAGATGGCGGTAGGGTAGGAGCGGTAGAGGAGGGACAGGAGGGAGGACTCGGGGGCAGAGTTGATGGCCATTTTTGCGAATGGGCGACCGGCAGGCTGGAGGAAGAGGAGGAGGGACGACGAGGTGGTGAACGAGAGAGGAGGGGCAGGATTGAATCCTACGCAGTCACGGTGATTCAGCGGTCGAGCGAACCGCGGGGTTCTTCTGCTGGCGACCCGCAGAAGTGCCCCCGTTGGCCTGAGGAGCGTCACCTTGGTCGCTGCTAACACAAGATCCCTGACTGAGAGGGATCTTGTTTATTGGGTGAATTAAGGGATTTAGATTAGATGATTCTTCTTTACAAGTTGAGTGATAATGCTAGCGACCAATTGAGAAGCACTCGGACTCTGCATTCAAGGTCAATATTTTTTTTTTCTTTCCTCTTTCCCCCTTCTCCCTTTCCGGACTGATCGCCCAAAACCGTTTAGGGCTGTTGGCTTACTCAGCACTGCAAGTGCTTCTGATCTACGAAATAGTTATAATTATCTGCAACAAACACTCTCTACCTCGTTTGAACAGCTAATTCAGCAATGGCTCTATTTTCTCTTGCCGATATGGCATATTAATCTTGCTTCAATATGTAACATGAATTGTAACTACAGCCACGCGACTCCCGCCTTGACTCACAGACCCAAGGCAAAGCAATGCACGTGAGTAACTGTCCATCCATCTGCCCACGTAGGATACAGTCCGAATCTCAACCGATATTATTACACTCGGGGGAAGTACAGAAAAGGAAACTAGTTCTTGGGGGAGGCAACACCAAGAGAGGGTCCACGCATGTCAAAGACGACAAAGAAGGCCTTCAGGAACGTGTCGCCTAGAATCTGCAGCGAGGTCTTGCCGTTGGATTGAATGCCGCCAAAGCACACTAACCAGCAAAATCAGTCAATCGTGTTCAATCAAGTATATTCAGTGAGGGAAACTTACAGGCCTGTCCGGTGGTGGTGTTGGTGCCAACCTTGGAGAAGTTGATCAGGTTGCCGGGGATCGTGGCCAGGCTCGACTCGCCGAGAACCAGGGAGAAGCTGGGGAGAGTGGTGTTGCAGGGGTAGATGTAACCACCAGCACTGCCCACGTAGACCGAGTTGGGAACTTGCGCGTAGTAGGCAGTAACCACGTCGTCATCCAACAGCATAAGGGAGGTTCCGGTGTCCGCGATCGAGGTGTTCACGCTTCCAATGTCCTTCAGCTCTCCGTCTGCCACGGAAAACTTAGGGGTGGAGAACTGCCAGTATCCGTTCGATGAGTCCACGCTGACGTTGGCAATGTTGCCCTGGTACTTGTTCTTGTCGATCGTGCCAAACTCGTACTCGCCCACTCCGTCGGACTTGAGCGAGGCGGTCATGACGGGCTCGTCCAGACTGGATGCGACATTGGCGAAGAACGTCTTTTGTGCCTCCGGCTTGATGGTGTTGATGGAGGAAAAGCCCAACCCGACCAGGCCGTTGGAGTTCGTGTCGTCGATGAATGACTGGGATACCTTGTTGGGGACACCGAAGGCTTGCTCGTCGACAACGGCGCCACCAATGTTGACGGTATCCGTTCCGACAGGTCCAGAGGCGTACGAGTCGTCACCATACGAGACATCGAAGGTGTATCCGTCCATCTTCTTGAAGGTCGAGGAGTTTGAAGGGTTGTACTCTGTGTGTCCCGTCAAGGTTTCATTGAGGTTCGTATCAAGCACCCAACTGTATTATGACGTTAATCATTGTACCAAAACGTAGACAGCTGCAGTAAGACTTACAAGTCAGAAGAACCAGTGTCAAAGGTCATGACGACCTTCTGGCCGCCGATGAGCACAGGCGAAACGAACTCGGCATCGCTCTCGACTGAAGTAGCACTGACAGCGCCAGTCTGATCAGGCTCTGAAACCTCGCTTCCAGCAGCAGCGTGGCTTGTGGTAATGGGCTTAAAGTCTGCCAGATCAATGTTGAAACTGCTGGGAGCTATTCCATACTTCCGGTATGCTTTGCGGAGAGCAGCGGGACCATGCAGAGCACCGGTTCCACGACGGGCCCGTTCAACTTTGAAGGAGCGTGCTTTATGCTGGTTTGACGGACCATGGGGTAAAGAGAGGACGCCGTAGCTGAAGCAAATGCCAACAACGAGAGACTGGAGGAGCTGCATGGTGGCTCACTCTGGATATGATGTCGACGGGCGGACTATGAAAAAGAGGGGATAGGGCCCGACAAGTTTCAGAACAAAACAATTCGAAAACAAAGAACGTATTAAGTAGTCTGAGAATTGAGAAATAGAATCCTTTCCAGAAGGATTGAGTTTTTAAAAAGGGGAAGCAGTATGGGGGCCAAAGTCCTGACTTAGCCTGGTATACTGTGATGTTACGAGGCTGAGTGAACCAACTGGCGGAGCAACGAACAGACCAAACCAAGAGAGAGAGAGAGAGAAAGTAGTAGCGCTCAGCCCAACAAAGCCCAGCAGATGAGAAAGAAAATGACAGCGGGTACAGAAATGAAAGAACACTAAGGTTAACGAACTAGAAGATAAATGTAAACAAAAAGGGGAAAGAAGTGCAGTCTATAAAAGGGCAGCAAGTCGAAAAGGAAAAAGGTCGGAGAGGCATTATTCACTGTCGAGCGACTTTTAGCAGGCCCTACTATAGTTGATTCGCCCAAGAGACCAAGACTTTTGCACTCTACATTGATCCACCCAGCACGGAGGCTGGAGGGGTGGCATTGTTCCAACTAGCTGGACCAGTCTGGTCCCAAAAGCCCAGCGGTGGAATCATCAACCAATCCTGGATGATCCAGGCCCAGTTAGCCTGGATTCACGGGAGAAAACCCAGGAGAAATCTATCTTCATTTGCCTGACACTGGCGGGGAGTGGGAGGAGAAAGAAAGTGGGTTCAACTTGGATCTTCCGCTTGTGCTGCTGCAGAAAACTCTATATTTTCTTCTGTTCACAGCAGCAGAGAGCGCATGGGACATGAGGAACCTGCCGTTGACAGGCGACTGGCCTCTTTTCCTTGACAGCGACCGGGGCGAGCGAGTCCCTGAGTGGCTCCTGGTGAAACAGTCTAACCGCCAGGGCCAGGGGTCACCGGCCAATCACCAGTGAAAAACATCATGAAACACCAGCGTGCCTCGAAAGCGGTTCCGTGGATAAACTGAGTTAGGCGTGTTACAAAGTCCAGCGTGGGACGCCGGCTTTTTCCCACCGTCTGCCCTGCCATTGAGCCACTCGGCATTAGTGTTCAGGCACCAGCAGCAGTGCACAAGGTACGCTGCATCGGCGTGGCTCCAGTCCACATAAGAATCTCGAATCCCGAGTACGTCAATGGACGAGTCATGCATGCGTGGCTAAACATTTCGCAATTGTGCACACGTACACAGTAGTAGATCGATCTGAACAGCAGGATTCTTACTCAGCCCTGGAAAGCCGCGTACGTAGGCAGTCGAGTTTTTTGGTAGTGTTCATCATTGCCCAAGAGAAGTTCAAGAAATTGGACGAATGGATGGCGGACAACACAGTTGGGGGATAGACTTTCTGTTTGCCCAGCGGTTACTAGTGTCTTGGTTAACCTGTTAACCTGCCATGCAAAAGAAAGCGTGACACAAGTCTATCTATCTAATCGGCTACGCCGGGGGAACGTTAATCTTGAACCCATCTAGGTAGTAGCAGCAATAATTCTGTATGTTTAGAAATGCTACTTATCTTTCTCGGCATTATCGAAGGCCTCATCAAGATCCAATCACACTTTAAGACAAGAGTAGCACCCTGAATGTTCAACCTCGGGCCAACCCCCCGTTGCGGATCTTCATCAGCGGATTTCCGTCTCCCTCAAACAGAGCCAAGCGAACGGTGAGATGGAAATGGTCCGATGGATGGCGCGGCGGGGATTCACCTTGCAATCTGCCAAGCACCCTTTTTCAGACCCCTTCTTTTCACTTGGCGGGCGGTCCGGCAGTTTCTGGTCGCCAAGCTGTCTAGCAAGTAAATATGACTGATAAAATAGGTGAACTTCATTATCATGTTACATAGTACCCTTCATGTTTGTATCTCGTTTCTATCTATAGGATCGACAGCAGCAAACTCCTTCGCTTTGGCCTAGGGCTTAGTGAGCACTAATATCGTAAGTCGGTAGTTGGTTATTAACTGCTAGTAAATTGCAGTAAACACACGAACTCCTGTCCGTGAACACGGGTTCTTTCTCCCCCGCGCAGCCCCCAAGCTAGGTGTATCTCGCCCCCAATATGGTGTAAGCGAAGACTACGAAGAGTGCCTTGGGGCAGCACAAAAATAGTAAAGAAAAGGAGAAGCGATGGGAAGGTCGAGCGAAAACAAAGAACGGTTTAAAGATATGGTATCTAAATGACTTCTTGGTCAAAAATGCCCGAAACACCCACAAATGAAAAGACCTCGGCTTGCTATCCCAATGCTGAACGCCCGTGAAATCAGATCAAACATCATATATATGATAAGAATCACTCCGCCACATCTTCCGGCAAAACGTCGTTGGGATCCTCTCCAATCATCCCAGCAACCGAGCGGACAACTTGCTTGATCGCAATCGATGCTGGACTGTCGGGATAATGATCCACGAAGCTCTCACCATAATCACATGCCATTCCCACCCGCGGGTCAAGAGGCACAGCGCCCAAGAAAGGAATGCCCATCTTCTTGGCGAGTCGCTTTCCGCCCCCGGTGGTAGCCCGGAAGATCTGTGTCTTAGTGTTGCACGACCCGCACACAAAGCCAGACATGTTCTCGACTAGCCCCAGGATGCGAATGCCTGCCTTGCGGCAAAAGTCAATTTCCTTCCTGACGTCGAGCAACGAGACCTCTTGCGGGGTAGTGACAACCACTGCGCCATCCACACCAGACTCCTTAAGAAGAGAGTTGACGGACAGATGCTCGTCCGATGTCCCTGGAGGTGTGTCGATGACCAAATAATCCATCTCACCCCAATCCACGTCCTTCAAGAATTGTTTAATGAGTCCGTTCTTCTTCGGCCCTCTCCAAATCACCGCATCATCACGATTGGGCAGCATGAACTGCACGCTCATCGCGGCTAAATTGTCCGTCACCCACACCGGACTCCAGCCTGCATTGCTCACGTGGATGGTCTCCGCCTCGACGCCCATCATTTTTGGTATCGACGGCCCACAGATATCTGTATCCATTACACCCACGGTCGATTCGGGGTTTGCGGCGAATGCGTGTGAGAGTAAAGAGGTGAATGTAGATTTTCCAACGCCGCCTTTGCCAGAGAGTACGAGGATTTTGTGACGTATTTGCGATAGTCGCTCGGTAATGATGGGGATATCGGGGTCGGGGCCTTTGGGCGCAGATGCGCAGATCGATTGATTGGGACACCCCGCACAGGCATCGCCTTTGCCTGCTTGTTCAGACTCGGGTCCAGGGCAATGCTCTTCTCAGATATTAGTATAATGATCATAAGCTGGACAATTATGCCTGCTTCATATCAGACATACCTGGCTCGGGAGCCACCAGATTCGGGGCCATCTTCGACCGCGCCTCGAGATAGGCCGCGGTCGGCTCCTCGAGAGAAGGTGCCATCTGGAATTTCAATCTCTGATATATACTCTTTTGGTCTGTTATTCAGTGAGAGCAGGGCAGATACTGAACAACCAGTCCCCAAAAAGATGTTATTGTGTGTGATAAAAGCTGAATGCAGTCTGACAAGAAAAGTGGCGGCGTGACCGCGGGCGGGATGCTTGATAAGCAACACATGACAAACGCTGCAGTGGCGATTGGCGCGGGGTTCGTTTCGATCGCAGCGGTGTCGGAGAGAGCGGCGATAAGATCCATTGCTTGCCAGTACTCATGCCAGGAACAAATCTCAAAGCAAACAAGCTCTTTGCATATTTTTCTAGATCTAAGCTGTATATGGAAATATTATCCTATCGCATCGTTAAATTTTTGAATGCATGTTTGGGATCAATACACTGATCCTAGTAGTGAGCATGGATGCTATGCTTCCAATCATCCTTTCGACTCGAAGCGACACGCTCCCATACTGCTATTTCTAGTGAGACAGACACTATCTGCAGTATAGAGGGGGTCATTGTATATGCATTAGACTATGAACATCACTATGCTTGTCGAAATTGGCAAATAACGTTGACCCATACTATTTAGATACCAGACAGACGCTGTCTTTACTATCCCTAATATTATGGCAAGTTCGCCGACTCGCAGTCAGAAGGGATGCCAACCAGACAGGCCCGACACGAGAGGGGCAGCCTGGTTTCAATCTGATGTCGGGAGGGGTAACGCGGAAAATTCATGCATTGTCAGAACTTTAACGAGGTACAACAATGCCCACAACCCGGTTGCGCAATGATATAATATTATCCCTATTGATCCAGGACCAGGTTCTCACATATGGGTAAGAGCATCCTCAAAATTACATTGCCCACATGAAGCATGCATAGTTGGGTAGGACAGTATAAAAATACACCCGCAATATTCTGCTACAAAGCGGGTAACTTTCTATGCGAGCCAGAAATGTCACCATATGTGCGTTGAAAGGAAGATTAACACCTCGCGTAGTCCCGTCAATCAGTTTCTATCTTGGGATAGTCAGAAGACGGCAGTACTGCACGACTTTTCTAAAGATGAGGGGAAGAGATGCATCTCTCGTGGAGCCAATGTCGTTCGGAATGAGTGCGTTGGCCATAGGGAGTGCTCATTGTCCGCATGCGCCACCAGGTACAAATTTAGTTGCATCGACCTTGGTTTCAATCAAGGTACACACCATCCTGGGTATTCATGATATTCTATTGATGGAAAGAATCAATTGATTCAATATCCAATGGGTCCGTGATCAATGAGCAGGCGCAGTTGCCGCCATTAGAAATCTATGTCCAATACCAAAGTGTGCATGAAAATGGCCCGGAATGCCTGGAGCGAGGGAGGGGAGCTGCTTCCCAAAAAGCCAGTTTCTAGGATGTGGCTGCATCATTAACGGGCCAGCAGCCAGCAGGTGCAGACTGGAATGATGCGGTAGTCCACATATGTTTGTGATCGACGATATCTGGTGTGGGAGAGAGGTTTACTACCCTTTATTCCGAATCGTGAACCAAGGACCAGAATCTGGTAGTGCGCAGCGATCCAATCTGCGGTGGGTAAAAGTGGGCAGGCCGTCGGACCCTGGGATGTTGAGATCCATTACTTCTCTTCCATTCCAGCCCATTCTTCCCAAGAAAGCGTGCCGGGCAAGCGTCATAACTGGCGTCAGTAGGACTGCTTGTGAGTTCGGGTCTTTCCCCAGGCAGTGCACGGGGGCCCACACTTAAGCAGTGCTAACCGACAAAAGTGGGCACTTGGGGAGGAGATGTCGCTGCTGTCTCATATTGCTCGCTAGTCCTAACCCCAACGCTTTGCCAGAATAAATACGTGGACGGACCTCTGGCTTCCCCTTTGCTGGTTACACTCAACCATTAAACATTTAGACCTTGGTTGTGTGCTGTTTACGCTTCACCTCTTGGACACCATTCCCAGCGATCTCGAGGGATTCCCCAATGCGGCTTGGTGACTCAGAATTGAGAAGCACGGACCAATCATAGTTACCCTGACGCTTTAAATACGGCCTGCCCCCAGCACCTCTGTCACATGCTTTTCTCTCGACTGTGCGCTTTTTTTCATTCCTTACCCTTAACCACTTCTCGGTAAACAATCATGGATCGAGGCCTCTCAACAGGCACTCATATCGGGGATGATGGACTTCGCGAGAGGTTTCAGGCCTCTCAGTCCGACTCATCCCTGGGCGCTGGTGCACTCACTGCTGCCGGTGAGGTCGAAGCCAAGGATGGTACAAGCCAGAATAAGAAAACTTTTGGCAGGACCCCTGATGGTACAGGTAGGCATTCCATTGAGTTATGTGTTTGAGCCTGGTTGGACTCAGAGATTCTGTAATCATTCAAAGATGGCGGACTTCTACGTTATAGTGGCGGAAGTTGGCGGCTAATTTACCTCATTGCTTCTTAGTGTTCACGGTGCCCCAAACCCACGACATGGTCTCTCAACTCCTGTCGCCTTCGGAACCTAAGAATTTGTCCGATGTGATAGTTCTGGCTATACTGGGTGCACACATCCTTCTACTGTGGTGGCTCCCGGACTTTGCCAAAATACCTGTGTTTGCGGTCATCTACCTCTTCTGGCGTGCAGCTTACAATGCCGGAATAGGATGGCTTTTGCATAACCAGTCCCATCACAAGACCCTTGTGCGCTGGGCAGAAAAAACAAAGATCTTTGTGAACCCCTCTACTAACCAGAATCCGCACCCTAAAGTGTATAACTTGCTCAAGCGGGAATTGGAGACTAAGATCCCTACAGACTATTCCTTTGAAGAAGCTCCGATTGAGTACAACACTTGGCTTGTCTTTAGACGCTTGGTGGACTTGATCTTGATGTGCGACTTCACGTCATATTGTCTCTTTGCTATAGCATGTAGCCACCATCCTGTGGGTGAGAGCATGTTGATGACAGTCTCGCGTTGGTCGGCCGGCATTGTGCTCGTCCTGTTCAACCTTTGGGTCAAACTAGACGCACACCGCGTGGTTAAAGACTATGCTTGGTACTGGGGAGACTTCTTCTACCTCATCGACCAAGAGTTGACGTTCGATGGCGTCTTCGAAATGGCCCCTCACCCCATGTATTCGGTCGGATACGCCGGGTACTACGGTATCTCATTGATGGCGGCCAGCTACAAAGTACTCTTCATCTCCATAATCGCCCATGCAGCTCAATTCGCCTTTTTGGTGTTTGTCGAAAACCCGCACATCGACAAGACGTACAACCCTCCTCCGCCGCGGAAGCGTATGACCGAACAAGACTCTGTATCTACATCATCTCAGGCCACTGAGCCTTCCGTTGCCTCAGCGTCAACCGATGAGCCACTGCCCCAAGCGACAACATCCCCAAGCGGCCCACCTCCTTCAGTTCACAATCTCCTGGGTTTCAACAACTTGGATCTGTATCGGATAACGGATACATCATCAATCCTGATCCAGCTACTCGTATTTGCACTGACCGTTCTGACGCCCTCAACGCCCCGATACCAATTTCTCTTCGTGGCCAATGCCGCGGTATGGAGACTGGTGTTTTCGGTGGGCATCGGATACCTTTTGACCGAGCAATCCGACTGTAAAGCGTGGACCCGTCATTTTCTTAAGTATGGTGAATCACCTAATGAGGCCTGGAACCAGTGGAAAGGCACTTATCATCTGAGTATGATTATGTGCTATGCTAGTTTCATTGCTGCCGTATGGAAAATGTACACGCTGCCCGCTGACTGGGGCTACGGTCTGGTCTTGCTCCGTCATGTTCTGGGCGCCGGGCTCATTAGCTTGCAAATCTGGACTTCCGCCAGCATCTACGAGTCTCTCGGGGAGTTTGGCTGGTTCTATGGGGACTTTTTCTTCGAAGGGGCCCATAAGTTAACGTATAACGGTATCTATCGCTTCCTGAACAATCCTGAACGGGTGCTGGGTCTGGCCGGCGTCTGGGGCGCTGTCTTGATCACAAGTAGTGGCGCAATTACATTCCTGGCGCTCTTGAGCCACATTCTAAGTATGGCCTTCATCCAATTCGTGGAGCGCCCGCACATGCAGAAGCTGTATGGCCGAAGCCTGCGACAGGATGCGGGGCTGGTCAAGAGCCTGAAGCGGACCCTGCCCCCCACTCTTCGTCAGCTTCATGGAAGCGTGGACAAGATCTTCGATGATTCCTTCGAGTTTATCGAGGATCTGATCGACACCGCTCGCCCTAAACTAGCTGCCGGCGTCAATACTTTCGTCAAGGACACTACTGCGCTATTCCAGACATATCCCGCACGTGTGACCATCTCCCGCATTGATGAGGACCTCGCTGGTTTGGACTCCCGGGACTATGCCCTGGAAGTCGAAGGCACGGATTCATCCTCTCTCGAGGAGTGCGATAAGAGTACTGGTAGAGAAGGTGCCAATGCTCGCGTGCCCCTCGACAGACGAGGCGACTTGAAGAACCTGGTCTTCGAATACTGCTCCCCGATCAAAGTCAAATGGACCGCTCCTCTGAACCACAGCAAGAAGGACTGGATCAGCCTGTACCGAGTCACGGACAATACCTCGCGTGAAGTCTCTCGCGTCTCCTCTCAAGGAAGATGGGTCGCCACAAACGAGGGTTTCTACGACAACCTCACCTGCGAGAAGGGCATCGTAACTAGCGACATTGTCACCCAAAACAGTGAGCATCGCGACGTTGCCACCGGCGAAGTCATCTTCTCAGGCGACAAGCTCTTCTGGACTCAAGGTGTCTTCGAGTTCCGTTATCACCACAATGGCAAACACAATGTCATGGCGATTTCTCGTCCCTTCGAGATCCGCATCCGGCGCTTCGATGAAGAATCCTTCGAAGACAACCAGGCGTCTGTCGAAAAGAGCCTCCTCCCTGTTGTCCGCAACTGCTTCGATCGTGACCCCGAAATTGCTCCCGAAACTGTGGAAGAGCAGTTTGGTAGCCTTGTAGAGCGTGACGGCAAGTTCGCTAAGAGAGTCGTCTTTGCTGTACATCAGATGTGAGTCCTCTTACAACATTGCTGGCTTTCGTGGTCGAATGCTTGTATGCTAATCTATATATTACCTAGGTTCGGTATCGAATTCGCCCCTGAAGTTGTCCGAGCTGATGGGACTGTTCGGAACCTCGCTTGGAGGATCTGTAATGCGAAGCGGGTCTTGGTGAGTATATGTACTTTCACATATGAGCCCCTTTTCTTTGGTTACGAAAGGCTAATAGGTTATGTTCAAACTAGGCTCCTTATAGCATGACCAGAGATGGTGCTACAACGCCCACTGAGGCGCATGAGAAGGATGAGGAGTGAAGAGTGTTTCTTACTCTGGCGGGGGTGATAAATGCAACGCCGTTGCGACTTTTCCTGCTTATTTATCCCATTTTCTCTACTGCAGATCGAAACTCGGTCGGCTGGTGTATTGCAGGAGTGAGACTAGTTGTGTAGTTGCATGGTGCTGCAGAAAGTCCGAGATGGGATTACAAATGATAAATAAGTGTAAATAAAACTTCACCATACATAAGGCTATTCCACTTCTCTGTTACTTTTACTTTGGCTTTACGGGTACTAAAGTTGTAGGTGTAGTGGGTATGTGGAAGACAAGTATTGGTATCAAGATGAGAAGATATCATTATTCTTACTAGCTATGATAAGGTGGACAAGACGAGAGAAAGTCTGCAGGCAGACGAGAAAGTCAGCTCACGATCCACTCAAGAATGTGGTTCTGAGATATAGGGCATGGACTCTATTCCAAGAAGAATGGAGTATATGGAAGGATCAGCCAAGCCGGGTAATTCATCCCTTCCCCTGCCAGTTCCGATCCCCCGTCAAGCCATCCAAAACGAACGACGAGGCGGGAAAAAGGCCCTGACACAAGTCAGGCACAACAAACATACCAACGCCGACAATGCGGACAACAACGATATAGCCTACCTCTCCAGGACTCCACAACCTTCCTCCCTTGAACGCCTGCACATCTTCCCGAGGGAAGATAGCGAGCGTAAGGTCCAGTATAAGGGAGATGGAAAAGTAGATCGTTGAAGTCATATGCATGACATTGTTGGATGATGCAGGCCCGAGGGGCGGTTCTCCAAGAAGGAGATCATTGAATGGATTGACTTGTTGTCATCATCGACGTGTGGGTTTGTTGTGTTTATGGTTTGTGTGTAATCGAAAGTTATAAGCATACCTCTTCTGATGAGTCCAGCATTATGTAGCTCGGTGTGTGCCAACTGCACATATGATTTTACAAGTACCTAGAGAAGTCTTGAGAGCTGTCAGTAAGATTGTTGACTGAAAGCAATGAGTGGAACAAGTAGTGATGTTTGTCCAAATGGATCAGGAGTTTTTGGTAAGGTATTTTGTTTTCTTCAAGATTTTTGCAGAAGCAGAACTGAAAAAAAATGTTTCTCATCATTGGATGATGGCCCGGAGTTGAGGCCTGGAGGGCTGTGGGAGGGGAAAGAGAGGGTGGCATACCAATTAGTTTATTACAATGGGTATTTGAGGTCATATAGCTGTAGCTATTATCTTATAATCTTAAAGCAATGTCAGCAAAGCTACTCAACCAGACATGGAAGAGAAAACACGAGGCAATTGTAGTGCATAATCAGATGGTGATGCATGTTTGTTCAAGGCCCATTTGTTTGTCGCCAGAACTGAAAGATTTTTGGATCTTGTTCATCAAGCAATGATAGGAAGGAAGTGAAGAAGTGGGAAAGACTCACATTATACTAGTTAGTGACAAGTTGCCAATAAAGGCAGACTTGAAATAATTGAAGTCTCAACATAAGAGACTTGCTGCTTTTCGCAAACAATCAAGCTTGTGTGGTGCGGGAGAAGAGGAGAAAGGAAAAGCGCGAGTCGAAGCGAAGAAAAGGAAAAATGGACGAGGAAAAAGAAAGCGCCGAATTCCGCGCTGCCCGCCTTGCAAACTATGCAAACTTCCCTCAAAATTGTAGATGACCGCTTCTGGACATCGACAGCAGCTCTGCTTGGCCATCCAAGTTTCTGACCCAAATCTCTGTCTCGCTTCCTCAATCGCTTGTCGCGCTGGTACGAGGATGCCAAGTCATGTGTAATGACTGACAGACGAAGAATCAATGGGCCGCCTAGCGGCACGAGGCCGGCCGTTTTCGCCTCATCTCTCAAGTCCGCTTCTAGCATTTCTACCGGCAGACCACGACGTCAAAGGCAGCCGGATGAGCTTCGCAAGATCTGTAAGGGCAACTACGATTCTTGTTGGATGATACTATGGCTAATTTACTTTCATTCTAGTCCTGAAGACAGGTCTCATCCCTTCGGCATCTGGTTCCGCCTATCTTGAATTCGAACCCTCCGCATCACTTGCTGCTGCACGCTCAAACCCTCAATCCCTGATTCCTCCTTCCTCGGCATTGAAGCTTGCCTGCACAGTCCATGGCCCTAAGCCCCTGCCGCGCTCGGCTAGCTTTTCGCCCAACGTCGTCCTTACGACACACGTGAAGTATGCGCCGTTTGCTGCCCGCCAAAGAAAAGGACATATCCGCGATGCTAGCGAACGGGACCTGGGCGTGCACCTAGAGACGGCGCTTAGGGGAGTGATCGTTGCTGAGCGCTGGCCCAAGAGTGGCCTCGATATCACAATCACCATCCTGGAAGCAGAAGATGATCGCTGGTGGGGCGATGCACCCGACTCGCATGATGCTCCTTGGGGAATGATGAATGTGTTGGCTGGTTGCATTACCGCTGCGTCTGCGGCAATTGCTGATGCTCGAATTGACTGCCTTGATCTTGTAGCTGGTGGTGTGGCTGCCATCGTCTCCGACGAGTCAGCAGAGGGTGAAACATCTACTCCTAAGCTGATGCTCGATACGGACCCAGCTGAGCACAAGTCTATCCTGTCTGCCTGTGTTGTCGCCTACATGCCCTCTAGAGATGAAATTACGGAATTATGGCTCAAGGGCGATCATTCTAAGGCATCATTAGGCACTACTGATCAGAGTCTGAACCATGAATCTCTCATTGATGGGGCAGTGAATGCAGCTCGGGGTGCCCACACAGTGCTTGCAGAGGCTGTGAAGGAGTCTGCAGAGAGGTTTGCTGGTTTATCCGCTGGAACAAACACGGCGTAATTGTAACCTGATTTGTGCACATGTGGCGTTGTTCAATATCATATATCCTTCACATTTTAGCACCTAATACAATGCGCTCCCACTATGCATCCCTTTCCTCCAACCTCCTATAACTTCGTATTTCCTCGTGCTGTGCGGTTCTATCTGCGAACTGCCATCCATGGCTATTCCACGGCGACGATGTCATTGCTTGGTGAATCAGTTAACAAGGGAATCACATCTCTTCATCTCTTCATCTTTGGTCTTCTATATCTTCTATAAATTCTTCCCCCCTTCCCTCCCTTCTTCTTCTCTCTCTCAACCAACCTTCTTCTACAACCCTCCCAACCGGACCAAGCAAGGTGTTCGTCAAGTCAAGTCATATCACCTTCAGTCTCTCTACACAACACTCCTAATACCTCATCCTCAACTGCTCTTCATCCACCGTAAAAATGACTAAACCTAATCCCAACGACACTATCGTGTTCCTCTACATGTGCCTCCTGTATTCTGACTTCAGAGTTGTAAGTCTCCCTTCTACTCAATGCTCCTCTTCCCTTCCATACTAACATACCCATCAGGTCGACTGGAAGGCTCTCAGCGAGGCCACCAACCTCAACAATGGGGCCGCGCGCATGCGCTACCACCGTCTGAAGAAGAACCTTGATGTCGTCATCAAGGATGGCAAATATGATCTCAGCATTGGTTCCGCCACCACCCCGACCAAGAAGCATGGTTTGGATATGATCACTGCTACCGACAAAGCAAGCAGTGTTGAGCCTACCAGCCCCACCATCGAACACTCTACTGGAGTCGTCAGCATCGCCAATCTCCTTAACCCGGCATTCCCCAAGCGCAAGATGGCGGATGAGGTTGATGATGACTCCGAAGCCTCGACCATCATCGATAACAGCTTCCGCTTCATGCCGATCTACGCTCCTGTTACGCGTTCCCCCAGCTCCCAGGGTCTGATGCCGGCCGCAAAGAAGGCTAAGAAGGAGGAGTGAGGAATCGGTGTTCATTGCTTGCTTGCTTGCTCACCATATGGGATCTCAGAGAGTCGGTTTTGAATTCTAGTTTACGGAGATGTGACCGGCTCCTTTTTCGTTTTTCTGTTTCTTGTTTGTTTTTCCTTGCTTGGGGAGTTAGTAGGTTAACTGAATCTGGACGGAAATCGGGCGTTGGGGCGCTTGTATATATTATATCTCGGGCCTTTCTCATCGGTTCAACTGAGATGGGACTGGTTTCCAAGTGCCCTTGGTTGAATGAAGGATCTCTCGTCATACGTCGGTTTTCTAACAGTAAACCGGGAGCGTAGGCTAAGTTCGTGGTAAGCTAAGAGGCATTATTAGTACGTGCCATTATATTTACTTGGAATTCAGGTGTAGTATCATTTGTGCTTGAGGGCCTTCAAGTTTGTGTTGTAATGACTTCTGTATTTCACCCCAGAGAAATCTGCCATAGTATGATCGTGATCTCTAATACTTGCTATGGCTGTCCTGCAAAATGTGGTCAACACCCGTAGTAGGATATATTGTATACCTCAATACTCCCCGTCCTATACACAAGAGCGAGAAAGCACTGAAGATAGCTGGGTATACGAATATCATCATGTTAGCAGTTAGTGTTGAAGGTGTGTGCCATCTTGGTCGGTAGTATTTCGAGTTCTCCACTAGACTGTGTGTATACACTACACAAAGGGGAGGCCAGATACTATAGTAAGCTTAGTTATAGGCATGCACAGCATGGATTCCACCTACTTCCTAGCTTGGGGGAAGACTATATAATGCATGAAATAGTACGCCACATGCAGATTAACGCAATCTCACAATGCAATCTACAATGCTGATTGTCTTCCCCCCACAACCTTGAAGCACGTACATATAACAGAGCATTCTATGATCATACGATCTTGTGGTTATACTTTAGTACAAACCACACAGTCACCGCCACCAGGAACAGGGCCCTTGCACTAAATTAGTCGATCGATTGAGGGGCAGAAGTGAAGCGTGGATGATAATCAATCCCAGTGCGTTAGCGTCCATCAATCACATTTGTTTGATCGGAGCCGACAACTCTAGTAGGTTAGTGGTCCGGTTTAAGCATCATTTAGGCGCAATTGTAAGGGCCACTTTTTTTTTTGTTGTTTTTTGTTCTCGATATTAGGTACGGTCTAGATACGTCGGATTTTCTTGCGCGTCTGCCCCCGTCTAGTCTAGTTGGAATCATATCTTTGTTTGGAACTAATCTAAGGCTGAGTGGAGCTGTCGGAGGTAAAAGATGAGTTATGGATATGCAGGGCATGCAGTAGATGAGATTTGAGAGGTGTGAGTACGTGTGTAGGGGAGACTGACAATATCGATTATGGATACCTTGTTTATTACTATGCGGGTATACTTTCATATCCCAGCTCCGAGGAGAAGGAGTACATGGATGACTATATGGTCCATGGATCAGTTTTTCCACTATTGAACGAGGTTTCAGTTTAGTTCACGATAGCCATAAGAATTGGATACTTCTGAATCTCCTCCGTAGACATAACTACTAAGCATAAAAGTTCATCGGGAAGCAGTTGGCAGCATCAACTCCCGGCCGCCGGGGATAATTCCCAGCGAGGAAAGGTCTCATCCGGCGTGTGTCACCCGTGATTGGCTCCAGTCCCCTGACCTGTTTTTGCGGCGTTTGTCTTGTTCGGCCTTGGAATGGTCTCTCTTCCTTGTCAACATTCATTTTCTCCATCTCCAAGAGTCTCCATCATCCTAACCCACCCAGTCTCCAGTCTTTTCCGCCATGATCGCATCTTTTGATTTCCCAAGCAAGCATGGAGCTATCGCGCTTCGGCGTTTCAGCCCCTGAGATGCGCGATCTTGCTCCATTCCCCTCAATCTAAGAGGATGGTTCCATCTCCGATGCATGGTTCATAGTCATTTAAACTTCCCAGCTTGCTCGTGGTGAGCCCCCTGCGGCTTCCACTTTCCTCCAGCGATAAACAAAAAAAAAATCAATCAAAAGAGGGGCATGTGTGACGAGAACACCGAGAGTGGAACAGCTAATTTTAAAAAAATGTTCCTGTCACAAAAGCCAAATAGGGATCCAACGTCGTCGTGTCAAACGGCACTGTCACATTCCTCCGTTAGTACTGGGCTTCCAATAGCGGCCCAGGGTCGGGCATCTAACATGACCTGCCCCTGTCAATCGATACGGTGAATGGGGCGGGCTTTACCATAGTACACGCCCGGGATATGCTGATGCTCGGCTCGAACGAGGCCTTCCCGCTTAGTGACCGGGTCGTGGTTCGCTGTCGGTGGACGATCAACTACCCGATAGGTGCAAGGGCACGTTCATCCTCTCCGCGCTAATTTCATAGGTGTTCGTGTGCTCCATTCCGCGCGAATACTCGGCTTCTGACTGGTGCACGCAGTCGGTTGGTCCATGGCCCTAAGCCGTCAACTCCTCGTCCCATGAACTCTGTACCTCCTCGACCCCGACCCACTCTGCTGTCGGCCGGCCTATGGTTACCGTATGTGCCTGGTAAATAACGTCAGGTCTGGATCTTTTGCTAATATTGGCATGATGGCGGTACTAGCTCGACCGCACGTCGTGCAGATCCAATTTCGACGCCCTCGCTGTCAGGTGGACTCGGGATTCTAGGTTTATGCATAGTGGGTATGAGGACGTTAGGGCTTTGCTCTGCTGCACGTTCTACACAGTCGCCAGTCAGCACAGCTGCTTCGATTGTGTGCTGGGCACTGGCCGCTGGGATTCCACAATGGCTACGAGGAGGGGGTCCCTGTAATCTGTATAAGCACTTCAGACCACGCCATTCGACTAGGGCAAATAACTATCGCAGAGCCATGGTCTTCGAGCGTGACCGGCGCAATGCGCATCTAGCTCGCAATTTCTTTTCACTGGTCCCCTCCCGTCCGCCGGCTCAGCCCCATCTTGTCTTGATGGATTACGGAGACCTGGACCACTTCTACCCCTGATACAGGCACGAACAATTATCGGATCTGCGAACCGGGCAGCTATCCCACGTAGACGATCCATTCTTTGTTCATCGATGCTGCTTTTCTCTTCTCTCAGCTTCCTCGCTCTCCCTCTCTCCGTCATTCTTCCTTCTCATCACTCCTTCATCCTCTCGAGTACGGAGTGCTCTTGTGTTCAGCGACTTCGTTATGAGTTAGACGTTATCATGACAGCAGCTCTAGATTACATTCCTTCCCTCCATTCATCTTCTCCGATCTGATCGTCATCGTCATCCCTCGAGAAGCTCGTATTCTAACATCCGAAAGTCTCGTCGCATTGTTACCATAACCATATCTCCGCACGCACTTGAGCGTTGCCACACACATCACAGCCATACCAAATCTATCCATATGGTTTAGCTGCAGCTGGTGACACCATTATGGTTGCCTTCAAGCGATTCTTCCATGCGGAGAAATCTCCGCCGGCAAATTTGGACGGCCAAGAAGCTCGGGCAGGCAGCGTAGGAGGCGATGATCACGGCTTGCCCAACATGAAGACATCCCGGCGCATGGCCGCGGGAGTTCATGACCAGACGCCTGCAGAGCAGTTTGAAGTAACGCACAATCAGCTACAGTCAAGGCCCCTATCCTCTCGTTCGCATGCGCCTCCATCTCGGGCATCAACTCGCCCTCCGGGGAAGGTCACCCGGCACGTTGATCTGCTTGATGCTTTGTTCTCCTCGCACCGGTATCATATCCAAAGCAGCAGCACCTTGTCGCCGATCACACCATACAATGAAGACATAGCCGAACGGAACATGGCTCCCTTCTTAAGAGGACTGGCGCTCAAAAACGCCTACTCGCATCCGGTCTCAAGTCTGTATCAGGAAGACGTAGCAGACCGGAATATCTCGAGTAGAGGCAGCAGTCGCTCCATTCCCCGCAGTACTAGCTCGCGCTCTCAAGCTACACCACCTCGTTCCCGGCAGGGCTCACAGAGGTATGTAGATAATACTAGGGATCGTCCGCAGTCACGGGGGAAAAGCACACGGTTGGCGCGGTCAACCTCTCCGGAGAGTTCGGTCTCTGTACCTCAATTGCGTACTGAGGAGCGCCCTGGCTCTTCGAGGGAAGACGCCTTCCAGATAAGCTCCCTGCGATCTCAACGGTCTGCCCCTGACTTGCTGGCTGAACGGAACAATGCGCCTAGGGAAGAATCAGTTTCGAGTTCAAATGGATACTTGGGCATCCCTCCTGCTCACAAACAAGGCGACAAGTGGAGCAATACGCCCCTACCTGATAGCCCAACACTACCACTATCTATTGGTAGTGACAGTACGAGCGAGACTGAATCCTTTCAGGATACACAGAGCACTCCTCCAGCATCCCCTCGTCAAGGAAGCAAGAAGAACATCCGAGACCTTTCTATAAACACAAAGCTAGCAGCTCGAGGAAGTCCAACTGCGAAAATTGCACATCGGGCGATACAGCCGCCTACTCCCAGTGCTGTCGATCCCAAGCAAGCTCCTAGCATTGCGGAGGTTATGAACAGCCCTCTCCCTGTGGGAACACCAACATCCATCGCCTCCATGCCTGCGTCCAACGACAAAGTCATCGAGATTATGGACATGTTTAGGCAGGCTTTTGCTTCGACCCAAGAGGTCACACCACACCCTACCTTTGAGAGTCTCCAAGATGCTATTGTCAGGGAGATCAATTCTCACGAGGCCTTTCAGCGCATTTCCTTCCCCACTGAACCCTCACTCACTCCTTCGCCGTCTCAGGAATCCTTTGACAGGACTCCTCATGTGCCATTGTGCCCCGCGCCTGGTCTGGAACGGAGCCTCTCTTCAAAAGAAGGACAATTCTCGAAACTCATCCTCAAAAGCTCCTTCAAAAAGCACAAGAGAACTCCTGAGCAGCGCAGAAGCATCTCCACGAGCGTTCCCGTGACGACTCTCCGGGCCACACAGACAACAAGTCGACGCAGGCACACTGATGCCCCTCTCCCCTCCCCAGGAGTTCTCGGCAACAGGGAGACGAAGCAGCAAAAGATGGTGAGCCCTCGGGAGGAAATGACCTACATGGATCTACTTCAATCGTTCCGCCAACCTCCAAGCAACCCAGGCCGCGCTGTATCCATGAGAACCAACTCGTCCCATGGCAACCTAACGAACATGAGCGGTGCCCCATCAGTCCTCCGCATGCGCGCACAAGCTTCCCCAGTCAGAATTAGCCAGATCAGCTACTCAGAAGACGACAGCAACGACGAAGAAATCATCCAACTACCCAGTGTTGGCGGGACACCGCACGTCTGCATCCAGGGTGTCGATCAGAACAACGTCACCTACATGGCTAGAAACACGACTCCGCGCAACGCCTACCGCCTCATGAACTGGCCGCGGAAATCAAGTCCCAATGCGTACAGCAAAAATGCCCTTTCCAGCGAGCGGATCCCTTCGCGAACTTCGTCCAGAAATGGACAGCAGTTCTAAGTCACCGCACTGGGTGCAGACTCGTTGACTGCTGCTTTCTTGCTAATGCTTCACTCTCTTGATACCCCATACCCCTCCCTCTTTGACAATGATACCCCTCGTCGTGTTCCCAAAAGAAAACAGCACCATCATGCCCACTCCCTTTACAATCTATAATCGTTAATCCGCTCCTTCCGTCCTATCATTTGATATGATAGTCTCATGCAATACATGCAGACTAAACGCATTTCGATCTCTACAACCTCACGCGCTCTCTCATCTTTTCTATACAACCACAGTCCTTTCACTTTGCATGCGGCATCCAGCTTTTCATCTCTTATTCGGTCACTCCATCACTCATTCCTTACTCTCTGCACGGTTTTTGCATATTTTCTCTACTCTGCATCTCTCATTTTCAAGCGTCCTAGCGCTCACTGTTCTGTATCCTTCTCTGTCACATTCCCTTTCTCTTTCCGTTTATTACCAGCGACAGTTTAAATAGGCAGCCAGTCCTTGTCATCTATCAGCTGAGAAAAGAAAATAATATAATACAATCATACCAAAATAGAAGAGATTATATCAATAACAAATTCTTTCAATTCAACTCGCTAGCTACTGAAACGACCTATATCTGACTCCCCCGATGGTAAACCGATGAAAGGTATCTCAAGGAATATCATATCTGCCCCACCCAACTCGCATCATCCATGCAATTGTATGCATCTAAACTCCTGAAATTCACTTGTTTCTTTTTTTTTTATTCGTTCTTTGTCTTTTCTGAAGACGCTCGTGGATTTCTTTTTAGGGTCCCTATGTCGAACTCAACGTGAAACTGTATTGGCAGGAATGGAAAAGTCATAACAGTCATAGGAAGGAAGGAAACTGGATGATAGAAAAATTTTTAGGGAAAAAAAAAATAAATTGAAACATCCGGATCCAACACGGTAGTAGTAGTAGATTGCGTTCAGTACGAGCCTGTTGGGATGATTGTGTTAGATATATTGTGGGTGAGCAAAGTAGGGGATCTGCATATGAACTTACGTCCGAACATGCACCACTTCTCGGCGAAGCGGGTGCAGTGGGGGTTGGTACACTTGGTCTCGCCGGGGATGATGCCCTCGGGCTGGTCGAAGGGAATGCAGAGAGACTTGGCACCCATGCTAGGAGCGCGGGCATCCTGGGGAACGCCAGAGTCCTCCTCGTGCTTGCGGGCACTCAGGTCCTTGATCTGGTCCTCACACTCCTCGGTCAAGCAGTGGGGGATCAGGCAGACGTTCTTGTCGTTCAGGGCGGGGGTGAAGTCATCCCAGTTGGTGATGATCTTGCGGTGGGAGCGGTACTCAGCATCGGCACGGTTGTACAAGTCCTTCTGGATGGTTTCCAGGAGAGCGGGCACGGCGGTGGACAGCTCGGAGATCTGGATGGGAGCCTTGCCGTCCTTTCCGGGGACGTCACGACGAGCAGCGGTGACAAAGCCGCCGGCAAGCTCGCCAGGACCGAACTCGAGACGCAGAGGGACACCGCGGAGTTCCCACTCGTTGAACTTCCAGCCGGGGGAGTAACCTTCTCTCAGATCGCTCTCGGCGCGGACGCCGGCGTCGCGGAGGGTGGAAACGAGGCGCTCAACCTCGCCGTAGAGCTTCTTGCGCTCCTCATCGGTGGTCTTGGCGGTGATACCGACGGGGACGATGATGGTCTGGGTGTCAGCGACACGAGGAGGGAGGACGAGACCGCGGTTGTCACTGTGGATCATGACCATGACACCGAGGGTACGGGTGGACAGACCCCAGGAGTTCTGCCACACGTGGAGAGGAGCGGCCTTCTCCTTGTCGTCGCTCTTGGCGGAGGGGTCCTCGACGGTGATACCGAACATCTTACTGAAGTTCTGGCCCAGACCGTGGGAGGTACCACCCTGGATACCACGACCGGTGGCGGGGATGTAGCCCTCAACGGTGGTGGTGTAGAGACCACCGGCGAACTTCTCCTTCTCGGTCTTCTGACCCTTGACGACAGGGACGGCCAGAAGTTCCTCGTAGATACGAGCATAGAGGTCGAGGATTGTCATAACCTCCTCGTGAGCACCCTCCTTGGTCAGGTGGGCCGTGTGACCCTCCTGCCACAGGAACTCTCTGGTTCTGAGGAAAGGCTGGGGGTGCTTGAACTCCCAACGAACGACGGAGTTCCACTGGTTGAGCTTGAGGGGCAAGTCACGGTGACTTCTGATCCACTTGGCGTAGTAGGGGTACATGACAGTCTCCGACGTGGGACGGATAGCGATCTTCTTCTCCAGAGGGGTGGAACCACTGTAGCAGAGAGGGGTTTATCAGTGACTTGTCTATATGAGGGTGTGTCTAGAGATAAGGAAACATACGCGTGCGTCACCCAAGCGACCTCAGCAGCAAAGCCCTCGATGTGGTCCTTCTCCCTCTGCAGCACATCCTCAGACACGAAAAGAGGGAAAGAGCAGTTCTTGACGCCCATCTTCTTGATGTAAGTGTTGAACCACTGCTGGATCTCCTCCCAGATGAAGTAGGAAGCGGGCTGGCGCAAATCAGTATAGGTCGTCGACGGATCCTCGGGCGAACATAGCAACCCACCTTGAGAATGA